CCCATGCACAAAACACAATAGAAACTTAACATTGGGGATGTGGAGTGGTTTATAATGGAAATATTCATGGTAAACACAAACAGTCTTCGCAGCAATTCACATTAAATTTCCCAGGAGTTTTTTTTTTTTTTTTGAATAATTGGATCTCTTGAATGAGGCAAAGTCTCTAATAAGTGCCCAACAGTTAATAACATTCGAGCCCTGTGGGTTTGAAAAACTGACCATAATCTTACTCCAGCAATAAAGAACAGCTCATCCACGAACAAACACATGCACTCACAAAAACACACACACACACACACACACACTAGAGTAACAGGATTAAGCAGGGACTGCTGAGAGGCAGAAAAGAGGTGGCAATTAATTAACCGAGTGCGTAAGGCTGAAAATCCTAAAGAAAGACAATGTTATGTGCCTGTCAAAGGCAGGCAGTGGGACCTGGGGAGGGTGTTCAATAACTAGGCCAGATTCCAAAGCACCTCAGGACAGATAAAAACCCGAGACAACTTTGAATCAAAAGCCCTTTCAAGCCTTCATCAATCATGGCAGAAACTCCCTCGAGTCCTGGAGGAGTCAGGGCGAGAGCAGGAGAGCCTGATGAACTGAGAGCCACAATCAAAAGATTCAATAAAACCTGATTAATCTATTAGAGAATAGAGGAACCACCTCTGTCCACGTTGGCTTGATAATATTTATATCAGCCCTATGAGCAAGCTCTCAAAGCTATTCTTGGATTCTCATGAGATTGCTTTTAAATAAAAACCTCTTTCAAGTCTCGTATTCAAATTTATCCCACCGCAGTAACTACTCTGATTAAAAAGATGGCCTGCGCACGACTACGCACACACACATACACAGAGCCCTCCCAAGTGAGCGGGCCCTGTTCCAGACTCCCACTTTGACGACATCATTAGTCTAATTACCCATGATGCCAAGGGCTGCATTAATGTACAGAAAACCTCACAGTCTGTTAATCACCAGACAGACACAGAGACACTTCTAACTACCACACAAACTGCACCATGCATCAGCAAGGGAAGACTGATTTACACACCTGCTTTACACGAAAAAACACACAGACAATTTTATACTTCACAGTAGAGAAGCATGTTGGTTACGGGTTATCACACTAAATCCTTCTGCAGAATCACTGACAGCTTGAGAAAGGACACAACTACAAGCAAAGAATAACATCAACCAGTCATTAGCCGAGGGAAGAAGAGATACTTAGGAATTTAAATCCAAAGCTTTAACTTGATTTACATCTGCACAGTGCAATCACCAAATTTGTCTTCAGTCAGACAGCAATTTAAAAAGGACAAGGCTGGTGTTATTATATATTTGTTCAGTTAACAAATCCCATGAATCATTCCTACTTTCCAACTTCCCTTTCTTTAAATGGCTCAGTCATATCTTAAAACAGCTGGCCACTGTTTTTAGCAAATGTTCCTTAACAGGACGAAATAGTGTGTGTGTGTGTGTGTGTGTGTGTGTGTGTGTGTGTGTGTGTCTTGGGGACTATTTTACGCTGTGGATTAATACACATTTGGTGCTTAAGTGAGTATTTAGAGCAGCGAGGCACTGTATGAGTGATCGACTCTTTATTCATGGTAATGAAGGAATATGTCAGCCGGTAAAACTGTGTGGCTCATTAATGTGCTTTTAATAGATTTTGGACAACGACTGAGCTCTATTGCACAAAGGAATAAGCTACAACACGTGTTGGCTACACAGGATATACGTATTAGTAGGATCAATTTATAATTGCTTTTTATAGGATTTGATGACAATAAGAAAAATATAGAATGTCATTATCCTTATTCTTTAGATATGAAACATAGGCTTATCACAGAGAAAATTGCCACTAGAGATTTAACCTGAAGACAAAATGGATGTCCTCTGCACAAAAATCACATGTTCTTCAGCGACAGAGTAAAAAAAGGAAAAGAAAACATTTTACACCTTTGATTAGAGGACATTTTGACCTTGGTACGATCAAACTGAATGGATGGGACTAAATCAGCAGTCGCAGACATGTTATCACAGACAGGATTAAAGATCTACTAAATGTTCTGCAGACACGAGCGTAATCCCCAACAGTTTCTCCTAAAAGAATGGCACAGTCATCCAACCACAATGGCAACCGTGTTTTTTTTTTAACATTGCAGCTACAGTAAACTGTCATTACAGGCTCTAAGATCAGTCTGAGAAGTGAAGCTTGAAGAAAAAAATACCATCGCGGTCTCTTCAGCGCAACTCAAATTAGCTTTTGTTGCAGGAAGTGTTTCACCTTCTGTCACGTGTGCATAAACCACAGTGACGGAAGATTCAGAGTGTAGCTCTTCTGCATTTACAGACAATCCTTGTCAAGATAAAACACAAAACCTAATCTTTACCTTACCTCTGTACTAGATTTACCATAAGTTTAAATTTTTACAGTTTCCAAAACATACATTTAAAAACATCAAGTCTAAAGAAGAAAAAAGAAGAGCTGTTCTTTAAATAAATGTTCCTGTCAAGCAAACCTAAAAGATAAAACAAACATGTAGATGGGTTTAGGGAAGAAGGTATAAGAAAGAGCACTTACTAGCTAGGAGCAAACAGGAGAGGGCAATGACATAGAGCTGCTTGACAGCCACATCGTAGTGGTCCATGAACAAATCCAGCAGGTACACGGCTAGGTGACGTGCTGTAGGACATAGCTGGTAGCGATTACTCAGGATGGCCAGCAAGTCTGCAAAGTATCGGCGCATGCCAATCTGCGGCGAGTGGGCCCTGTAGACCGGTAGCTTCAGCTCCTGGAGGGAGAAGAGAAGAGGGGGTGGGGGCATAAAGGACAGGAGGTGTGAGGAGCAGGCTGGACAGGAAGAAGTCCTGGAGAAACATGGAGACTGTGAAGAATATGCATAATAATAGTGATGCATGTCTCCTGCTGACAGGAGATCTGCTGTGGGTCTAAAACACTTACACCAAGAATAAAACTCAATTTACCATCATTAATTCTTATGCTTCAGCCTCATTTCAATTCCATTTAATTCACCATCGCTGCAAAGAACAGGAGCTAATGTGGGTCATTGCAGGGGTCTCTGAAAAATGGGTGGGGTGTGTGTGTGGTTGGGGGGTGGGCATGGTTCTTCCAGCGGAGGTTGAGTAGTAGATAGGATTAGCTTTCACCCCAAGCACATCCCCTATTCATGTTCAATTAGCTGCATGTGTTTCAAAGTGGGAGGAAGATACTCGGGGGGCATTAGCATTAAATCAGCCTCTTGTATCTTCCCAATCAGTTACGGAGAACAGGAGAGCAAAAGGCTTCCGTTTCAAATTCAGCCTCAGAGTAAGAGACAAAAAAGATTTAGTGCTGGATGTACAAACTCCCAGCACATCATTTCTCTGTATTTAAGCTGCTTATATCAAAAATGTTTGTTTTTTGCTCTCTGTGAATCTGACTAAAAACAAGGGCTTTTGATGTGGATTTAATAAGAGATTGAGGATTGATTAATCTCCTTAAATTCAAACTGTGAGGGGTCCTTCAATTGGAGGAAAATTACAGGAATCATCTACATCATGTCAGGACTGTTGTTTAGGAACATCATGACCATCATAACATCATGAACTTAGGCTGGTTTAAACAGTCCCAGTGTGGCTTTAAAGCTCCGCATTTAAACTCATAGCAAAACATGCTAGTCAGTACTCTGCAAAACACAAAGGGCACAATGTACCAACCCGTCATCTATTTATTTTGAGCTGAACTAAAACACCAACGATGCTCAGACTGACACTTCAGTGGAATCCAAAAATAAGCTGTAGCCCCCCTCCCAAATCCACATACAGCCACTCCACCCCCAGTGCCACAACCAACTGTACCACCCAATCCTTCCCAAACTCTTCTCTCCACTCAGTGCTTCAGCCTCTGGTCCATCTGTCTGTCTGGGGGTACAAGGGCAGCAGGAGAATGGGGGTAGATGAAGGGGGAGTCTGGAGGGGGGACTCCGGGGGGGTCTGTGTGGGGTGGAGAGGTGCCTTTGTGGGGACCCGCACCATAATTAAGGATTCCACAGCTGCCTCTGCCTGATTTGCATGTCTGATAATTTGCCACATGCTACACACCACCACTATCTCCCACATCAGGGCATTACCACTGCAGCAAACGTCATTAAGGCTGAAGGAGACTGTGGGGGAGCAGGCGCCATGCAGGAAATCTGAACACTGTGTGAAGGCCTTTTTACACACAGCTCTGATACTGATTTCACCATTCTTTTCCATTTCACGTTTTACTGTGTCGTCAGCTTAACCAAGTCTGAATATATACACATCCACTCATCAAAAGTTTGTGAACACTATAAAGTATTTTCAGCATTTTTATTAAAATATAAAGCAACTATTTTTATTTTCAATTAATCTGTCAATTGTTTTTTAGATTAAGTGTTAAATCCCTAAAATATTCAAAATAAATAAAACATAACCACCACAACTTCCCAGAGTCTAAGGTGACTCTACTGATCGCTTTTTTGGAGAGCTGTAATGGTTAGTTGACAGAAAGAAAATTAATCTGCAATAATGTTGATAATCAAATAATCGTTCATCATTTTTCTAGCAAAAATCCCAAATATTTGATGACTCAAAATGTCTGAGTCACTTGACCTACAAATGACTTAAACGAGATGATTATCAAAACTGTTTGTTGTCCCAATTTTCTTTCAGCTGATTAACTGAATAATCAAATATAATGCATTTCAGCGTTATAATAATAAATGAGGTCCTGGCAGGATCTGAGCACTTTCCGATTTACAGACTCTTAAATACAAAATTTCCTCCATCACTACAAGAAGTGAATAGCTATAAGTTCACAGCAGAGAAAAATTAAGCCTTTACAACTCTGAGGAATCAAAAGATCGTCTTCCTGGGCAAAACTCTTTCATTGTCTTTATGATGAGTAGGCGCTCCTATGATTAACTGGGTAATTAATTTGTTGAGGGACAGAAAAAAAACACCTTGGGCTGTGGGAAATTGTAACAGGTATTTTTCACTATTTTCTAGGGCAGCAACTAACGATAATTTTCATAATCGACTAATCTGCAGACTATTTTAACGATTAACTGACCAATCATTAAGTCAATAAAATGTCAAGAAATTGTGAAAAATGCTCATCACAATTTTCCAGAGCCCAAAGTGATGTCTTCAAATTGCTTCTTTGGTCCAACCAACAGTCCAAAACCTAAAGACTCTTCATTTACTATCATAAATGACAAAGAATAGCAGCAACTCATCAATTTAAGGATGAAACAAGCAAATTTTTCACATTTTTGCTTAAAAGATGCCTGAAATGATTAATCGATTATCAAAATAGTTGTCAATAAATTTTCTTTCAACCCGACTGATCAAATAATCATTGCAGCTCTACTATTTTCTGACATTTTATGGGCAGACTAATAGATAATGAAAACAATCGATAGCTGCTGCCCCAATGGTGAGTTTCACCATCAAAAAATGACAGTACGTTGGCTACTACAGGTGCCTAAATACAGCACTCAACTCCAATCTGTTTAAATCTTTAAAAATGAAAAGTCTCCAGCCTTCCTCAGATTACCATATGTTTTGTGTAACTTTGCAGCATTTACAATGAAGGTACTGCATTATAAAGTGTATTGTAGTGAGTCTGTTGTTTGGGATTTCACCAAAAATGCTGATATAGGGCAATCAAGCCTAACATTAGACTGACTCACTCTCGCTCTCTCTCTTATTATGGTTAATGAGGAAACAGTGGGTGTGCTCTTTAGTTTCCAGCCATGCATTCAGAGTTTCATTCAAATTGACAGCTCACTCTGAGTCAGACACTGTCCGCCATAAGTAACCTGAATCAAACCAAGTGTAAATAAATGACTCATTACAAGGCTCACAAACATCCGGTTTCACAATCTGATACACTACAGTCCTCGCTCTACATATGCAGACAATCTCTGGCACATTCAGGCACCTGATATCTAAAACCTGATCTGTATTTGTCTCCCTCAGTGTGAAGCTGGCAGCAGCATCCCAGCTCCAAGATGCCAGTCAAGTGACAGATGTCTCCATTAAAGTGACACATGGGAAGAAATATGATCAGGCTTCTGGGTTAATTAAGACATTCTCAAATAATGAGCCTTAACTCCTCCATGTAATCCAATTTAGATCATGTTTAAACAGACAAGGGGACCCATGTAATTATATTATAACTTTCAATACAATGTGGGGTATATCAATATGCTGCTGTGGAATATCAGCACAGGCCTGTTTTTTCCTCTGAATTAATCATTTTAATCACTAAAAGGTCCTAGTCTGGTTTTTGACCCACTGTCCAAAACCCAAATAAAATAAATGCATTACATTAGGACAGAAAGAAAAACAGAAAATATTCACATTTAAGAAGACTGACAGTAATTTTCTTGCTAAAAATATACTTTAACAATTAATTGGTAATTAAAATGGTTGCTGATTAATTTGCTTTTTATTGACATAAAGATTAATTGACTGACCAATTTATCTTTACTCAATAATCTGTTGTTTTAATCATATTATACAGTGCAACACATGCTATTCCCAGGTTGTTGGAGGATGGAAAAAGCTAGACAGACTAAATGATTGCAATGTTTTTCCAATGTAAATGTCAGGCACAATCAGCACGTTTGGCTCACACTGTCAACATAGCAACGTCTTCCTATCAAAATAAAGCAGTGATCAATGATGAAACACTCACCTTTATGCGGAGGGATTGATGGATATCTGCAGCCAGCTGTCCTTTCCACCAATGCAGCTCCCTCTCCATCTTTCCCATCCAGGGGGGGACTTCAAGAATCAAGATTTACCTGCTGAGACAAAACAAGACAAAGTTCAAACACTTCAATAGGTGGCATGCTGGGCTCAAAGTTGCGAGTATAACTAGATAATAGACTTCAAACTGGATATTTGATCAGAAACCCATCTGATGAAAGAGGGGATCGAGTTGAATTAAAGTTATTCTACACATTAAAATGGATTTTAGGATTTAATAAGTTAGAGGTTTGCGCTTGTACTGGCAGCTACGGCTGTTTTTGATAAAGTTTTTGAACACCTTGCTGATCCCACAGCAGAAGTCTCTTCCCCCGCATAGGCTATAGGCCATTTTCTCTGCTCGGGAATTTAAATGGATCAATTAAATGCCCGCTCGACCACGCTGTCCAGGTCAAATGAATCAAAGCACACTTTTAGTTAGGACACTTTTGACATGGTTGTTCAAACGACAAATTACGAACAAACCCGCATTCCGGTTATCGTTCACATCGCGTCAGCACCACGAGACAGCGGCCAAACAGTGAGGCTACACAAGTTAACTGCCCACCGAGCTCAGAAATGTTATACTGGCCTTGTTCAAAAACAAAAACAACACGCCGGGATAAAACTAAACACCTTCACACAAACACAGCTTATTTCTCCAACATGGCAGCAACCCGGTGAACTTTCCGTCTCGGTGTTTTTTACATGTGCCACTCACCGCTCCAACGGGAATGCCCCCCAGACCCCTTTGTCTCAGTCCGACATCCTGAACGAGAGAACTCCTCTTCGGCTCAACTTTGAGAAAGACCTCTTTTTTTTCGGCAAAAAAGGCAATGTTCAAATCCGCTGACAAGTTCATGAAACACCTCCCGCCGACAAACGACGGCAACAGGCGTTTGGTCGCGCCGTTCACCCGAAATGTTTACACTTTTCCGAGAGACACAGCTCGGCCGTTTTCTCTCCGGTCTCCGCTGTAACAAAGTAACGTCCTCGGCTGCACCAGCTGCTGCCGTTGAGGTACGAGGCTCGTGCGCTCGACGTGAAGGTCTCTCTTCCGTGCTGGGAGTTGTAGTCCTTGAAATCAGTGTCAGAACTACAAACACACCACGCTTATTTTCTTCATTTTAGTATTTTACTGTGATAATTTTGTTATTATTGATTTTATCACTTTGGTATTTAGCTTAGCATACATTGCATGAAACACGTTTCACTAGCATAGTAAAAACGCTTGATTGGTTGATTAATTACTGCCAAGTACCAGGGTATGTCTCATAGCAACCCAGGTAAAAATTTTTGAAAAGGCTATGAGGTAATGCTAAACAAAGACATGCTAGAGAAGGTAACAAGCAGATGTATGAAAAAAAGGAAAAATATTATTCAATCTCTTCTTCAATTACTTTTTATCATGCAATGTCATACAATGATTTCATATCCATCATTGATAACCCCTGAGATGAGCAATTTTATCTATCTAATGAGATGGCTAATTTAAAGTCCCCCTTCAGTCAAAAATGCCTTTTGGTTATTGTTACTTCACTTAGATGTTTGACCGTCATCATGCAGGATGATGTAGAGTTTGACTCTACAAGACTGTTTTTGCATTTATCGGCTGAAGGGAGAATGTTCCTCTGTGCTCACCTTAAGTTTGTGATTAAGATGTGTATATCTGAGTATGATCTTCTGACATCAACTAGTTTGGAAGACAATTGTGGTCCAGTAGTTACAACTTACACTTAAGTGTGATGTGGAAAGTATCTAAATGATGAAATAAATCAGGTTACAGAAACAGGACAATACAAGATATAAAGTACACACAGGTATGTCACTTCTTTCTTTGCCTCCTCTCTCCATGCTTCCCATCCAGGCCTCTCATTCTCTTAAATTCAGCATAATAAAAAATGGTGAAACTAAACTATTTCTTATATTTCTGTTTATTCAGGGAACTGTCTCACCTGATGGTACACAGACCCCACTTTGGGCATGTTGCAGTAATGTATGCTAAAAACATGTTAGCTATTTTAGTTGTGTCAAGCCAAAATTTTAATGCATCACTGTATGTTTAAAAAAAATGTGAATGTAGAAATTACAGTATCAAATATACATACAGTAAAAAAAATTATGTTTACTAGTCAAACAGACATTTTTTTGGATTTACTGAATTTAGGGATAATGTCACACACACATCATCTTGTGTGCGTAGGAACATCTCAATCTTTGTGTATTTAAAAAAAATCAACATTATAGAAGACAGCTTTGTGCCATGTCCTACTGAAACGAATGCTGTTTGTTTTAAACCTGTTTTAAACCTTGCAGCTCTTGTATTATAAATATGAAAGAACCACAGAAATAAAAATAATTCTGTTACTTTTTTGGAGATACTAAAAGGATTTTGTCAGAATCAGCAAGGATATTGCAACCAAAACACATGACCTTTAAACATTAAATCACTAAAGTGGGTTCCTAACTGTGGTTTACTTGTGCCCCCTGGTGTCAGAACTTTAACCCTACTGTCACAGAGCAACCGCTTCAAAAGTGGATTTCACAACATTTTGACATGATTTTAAGCCAATTATTTAAAAAATAATCAAACATATATCAGTATTAACTGTCATCCTGAGCATTAGCCTTTCTATCAGCCTCATTGAGATAGTCCTGGTCAGCGTAGATAAGAAAGCCAGTGAAGGTGCTGTCTGTCCAGAAAGGGTCAAAGAAGAGTCCATTCTGCTCAGAGTAGAAGATCTGCAGCCAGACCTGGTCTGACTGCAGCAGGTGGAGAACAGTAGAACCAGATGCCACATCATGGTTCCCTGTATTTGCATCAAATGTCTTGATTTTGTACTGTCCATTGTGGACCAGGCCGATGGCCAGGTGCTTATTTGCCAGAGTGATATCATATGTGAAATAATACACCCCGGGGACAGCGCAGACAAACTTCCCACTGCTGGCGTTGTAATGGTTCCCCTCATTCAGCAGGATCCTGCTGAAGCGGATGGGCAGTCGCTCTTTAGGGTAGCTCTTTGTCACCGCCACAGAGAAGGCAGATCGGGCTGCACGGCCACAGTTGCAGCCTCCGGGAGCTCCCTGCTGGCCCACCCCACCCAGCTCTCCTTTTAGTCCTCGCTTTCCAGCAACCCCTGGTGTTCCTCGTAGCCCCTTCAACCCTCGAGGTCCAGCCTTGCCGATAACACCTTCACGTCCTTTGACACCTGGCTTGCCTGGGTTCCCGGGCCTCCCCGGATCACCTGAGATCACAACAGAGGCAAAATGATGACAGAGTGACATGACTGACAGCTTAGCACAATCCTCAAAAACTCCTTAGAGCCTAGAGTAGTTCTCCAATCTTTATGCCTCACAGTTTATCATTTACCCTGAAGGACTTGTTGCCTCTGCCTAGAGTGGCACTGGAGTGTATTAAGTTAACATGCATTAAACCTTTGTTGTGTTGACATCGGCTGTACTTCCTTATTGTTGTTGGGGCCCTGAAGAAAGCCTGAAAGCCCAAACAGAAGTAATGTATCTGTACCATACTTGAAACATAGTAATTATAATAGTAATAATAGTAATTCTCATAAAATTATTAAATGTGATCAAGGTTCAGGCTGATAAAACAATGTTTTTTTGTTTTAACTGTTAAAGAGGACCTCTAGGACCCTAAACAGAACATTAGGATTAGCATTACAACAGAAGAGAGTCAGTCAGTAACTACCTCTATCTCCCTTTAATCCCTTCTCTCCATCCTTCCCATCCGGGCCATCTTTTCCCGGGGACCCCATGGGGCCCATGGCGCCTGGTGATCCAGGGGCTCCGGGGTTCCCTGGTGGCCCTGCAGGTCCTGGCAGACTGCAGACCAGCTGGGAGGAGTGGATGGTGATGTTGCGACCTCTCTTGGGTGAGGAATACGTTGACTGGGAGAAGACAACTGACAGCAAACAGAACATCACACATATCTGGAGCATGATGGTCACTGTGGAGTCACGGGAAGACGAGGCCATCGTTTTCAACAATTCATTTGTTGTTAGTCACAGTCAGATGATTCAAATGCCTGGAACAAATAACAACATAAAATATGTCAAGTTAAATGACATCCACAAATGGACGGGGGGGTGGAGTACATGCGTAGGCTACTATCTACAGCTAGAATCAGTTGAAAAAAACAACTTAATCTAAATGGTCTGATCAGTTTCATGTTATGTCTCAGCGCTTCAATAGAAGTATGAAACATCAATTTTGCACGGGTTAAATCAAAGCACAGGCTGCCGCTTACATGTTTTTGCAAAGGGAGTGTACCAGACATTTTAAAAACACAAAGAGCTCACCCGTTGAGAAATGATGACCCATGGGCTTTTTCCAGCACTATCCAAGTCCTTTTTCTGCATCAGGATGCACAAACTTTCCTACATGGATTTGGAAAATCGTGTGAGATAGCCTCTTCGAGAGAGGCACTGCAGAGAAATGTGCAGCCCAGTGAACCATAGTCCATAACATCCGCCCTGTTTAAGCAAGCACACTGCCAAAAAATATTTTCACCATGATGTCATTAAATTCGAGTCAGTGCAACAGTATTGTACAGCCGAAGTGGTGACGCGTCACTTGTTCACAAACTCCTACTGTGGGAAAATATGTCACATAACAGACAACATAAAATGTACAGAACAAAGGTTTTGTCATTTGTTATTATGTAGTCACGTTACAGTCATAACTTTGTGCATTTTAAATAACATTTTTATTTTGAAATGAAAGTGCAAAATCAAACCGCCCAACAGGGTGGTCTGCAGAAATGTATAAAATGCATTTTGAATATTACCAGATATGTTTATGTTCATTGCTGTGATGCAGAGCCAAGGGACCAATAAAATGTTCCAGCTGTTGGGTGAGGCAGTGCCTTGTGTTTAGCAATCTACTGTACTCACCTTTAACTGGAAACATGTGAATATAGGTTACATAACCAGTTATTGTTGTAGCAGGTTTCTATTAGCAACAACAACAAAGAAAACATGTGATCACACATATCTGTTAGTTCATATTTGAACTACAGAACAAAATCTGTGGACAAAGAATGAAAACGCGAAAACAATAATGTTGAAAGTGTGACCCAATGTAATGCTACTTATGAAGCAATTTAAGAAGCACAGAATTCACACACTGATCCACTGCAGCTGGGATGTATTGCTTGCAAATCAAAGCAAGAGAGTACATGTAAATATTATTCAGTTTTTTCTTTCAGTTATTTTTACTCCATTTCACACATCTTCATATACAGTGGGGGAAATAAGTATTTGACCCCTTGCTGATTTTGCAGGTTTGCCCACTTACAAAGAATGCAACAATCTACAATTTTAATCATATGTACATTCTAACAGTGAAAGACAGAATCCCAAAGAAAATTCCAGAAAATCACATCATATGAATTTATAAAAACTGATAACCATCTGATGAGGAAAAACAAGTATATGACCCCCTACCAAACAGCAAGTATTCTGGCTCCTACAAGCCAGTTAGTCTTTCTTTAAGACACAGCCCCAATCCCAACCAATTATCTACATCAAATACACCTGCCTCACCTCGTTACCTGTATAAAAGACACCTGTCAACACCCAAACAACCAGCATCCAACATCACCACCATGGGCAAGACCAAAGAGCTTTCTACGGACATCAGGGACAAGATTGTTGATCTGCACAAGGCTGGGATGGGCTACAAGAGAATCGGAAAGCAACTTGGAGAGAAAAGATCAACTGTCTGTGCAGTTATCAGGAAATGGAAGAAGCACCACACAACCTCCCTCGGTCTGGGTCTCCACACAAGATCTCGCCTCGTGGGGTGTCCCTGATCATGCGAACGGTGAGGAATCATCCCAAAACCACAAGGGGGGAACTGATGAATCAACTGAAGGCAGCTGGGACCACAGTTACAAAAGAAACGGTTGGTAACACACTACGCCGTCATGGATTGAAATCCTGCAGCGCACGCGAGGTCCCCCTGCTCAAGAAGAAACCTGTACAGGCCCGCATGAAGTTCGCCATTCACCACCTGGACGACTCAGAAGAGGCCTGGAAGAAGGTGATGTGGTCAGATGAGACCAAAATAGAACTTTTTGGCCTCAACTCAACTCGTCGTGTTTGGAGGGCAAAGAACACCGAGTACAACCCAAAGAACACCATCCCCACCGTCAAGCATGGTGGTGGCAACATCATGCTTTGGGGGTGCTTTTCAGCCAAGGGGACAGGACAACTCCATCGTATTGAGGGGAGGATGGACGGGGCCATGTATCGTGGAATTCCGGACCAACATCTCCTTCCCTCAGTGAGAGAGCTGAAGATGGGTCGAGGATGGGTGTTTCGGCACGACAACGACCCTAAGCACACCGCCAAAGCAACAAAAGAGTGGCTGAAGAAGAAGCACATCAAGGTTCTGGAGTGGCCTAGCCAGTCTCCAGACCTGAATCCAATTGAAAATCTTTGGAGGGAGCTTAAAATTCGAGTTGCCAGGCGACAACCTCGGAACCTGAATGATTTGGAGGCTGTCTGCAGGGAGGAGTGGGCCAACATCCCTGCCGAAATGTGCACAAACCTTGTCACCAACTATAAAAACTGTTTGACATCTGTGCTGGCCAATAATGGCTTTTCTACAAAATATTAACTTGCTGTTTGTCCAGGGGGTCAAATACTTGTTTTTCCTCATCAGATGGTTATCAATTTTAATAAATTCATATGATGTGATTTTCTGGAATTTTCTTTGGGATTCTGTCTTTCACTGTTAGAATGTACATATGATTAAAATTATAGATCGTTGCATTCTTTGTAAGTGGGCAAACCTGCAAAATCAGCAAGGGGTCAAATACTTATTTCCCCCACTGTAGCTAATGAAATGGTTAATTTAACATCTGGCCAAGGAACAACTGTTGAAAAACACTAGCACATTACAGTGATTGTTTTATTTTTTTTTAACAGGGTCAATGCACAAACACTTTTTGACAACATATTAAAGCAAATATATATTTTATTATAAAAATGAGGCATTTTTCCCCACTGAAAGTTATTGTCAGCAAATTACTGTTTGAATACAATAGCTGTTACTGTTAAAGACTGAGGGTGACGAAATCTAAGAAAATTGTAACTTTCACATTTGGTTCGTGGAACTGATTAGTACAAACAAAAGCACATCTTGTTTTATACTATAGTCTATCAACATGTGGCATCAAAACAAAAAGCATACCAAATAAAATTAATAAAAACACTGTACACTGCTTCTGTCACGATCATAACCAAACAGAAGGCTCCTGCTGTAAGTTTACAACTTGAGTTTTATGAGTCTGAGATATTTCTTTCCACCGAGCAGCAGCTCTGGTACAGTTCTTCGGAGAGTTTATGGGAGTCAGCAGGGACTAAGATGAGGTCACTGTCCCAGGAAGGGAGCCATGGGATCATCTGCCCGGCAACGCTTCATGCGGAAGGCCTCCATCTCCTCCTCAGTGGGCGCCTTCACTTCCATCAAGCTGTTGTACGGCCTCTTCCTCTCATCCAGCTGCATTATTGCATCTACGTGCTTCACCCGCTTGTCCTCCGCTTCGAGCGCCTGGGCGGAGGAAACAGGTTTTGAGGTCAGTCACAGATAAACAAGCCAAATCACAGAACCACTATTTGCCATCTTAAAAACAAAAATATTGCCACCTTCTTCAGCTTCTCCTTCTTCTTCTCTTCATCCTCTGAATCGCTGCTGTCAGAGCAGCGCTTCTTGTTCTTTTTGCTCTTCTTTTTCTTCTTCTTCTCTTTCATCATCTTATCTCGATGCATCTAGGGATCAAAATCATTGACATGACGAACATACAATTAGATCTAAATGTTGACAGACTATAAAAAACACCCATAGGATCATTGACAGGACCTGTTACAGTGTTCTCTTCAGCGTCACTTACTTCCAGCAGAGTCTTGGGCTCTTCCTCCTCCTGAGGCTCAACCAGTCCCTCTTCAAATGGTACGCAGTCCGTGTTGTTCTTAAAGTTATGAAAAGAACAAAAATAGTATGCAAGTAAAACTAAAAGCGGTGTATCAAACAGAGGATTTGAGTACTGTTAGGGATGGGGATTGTTAATTTTATTGATCTGATACCCTTATTGAGACCGCTTAATGATGTGATTATTTATCGATACTTTACTAATATTTTGTGACGGTTATTGGTAAGACCAGCCCCAACGGACATGGGGTAGGCCTGCATGTTATGAGGAAAATGTGCAATAACATTGTTCTATACTAAGATGACATATGACTTGTGAAAAATAAACATAATGAAGTGTGCATTAGAATTTAATATATTAAATGCAGCTAAATGTTTATTCTAGAGCAGCAACATTAATGTTTACCTCTTCCACCTCTTCTTCCTCCTCCTCTCTGCTGTTATTCACTGTCTGCAGGTAATGTTAAATGGCAGAAGGAGGCGCGGCTGGTTTGTCACAATCAACAGAGACTACAGACCAGGCTATGCTACAGATAATCAGCTTTCTATTTAGCTTCTTTTTAACATTTGGCTAATCAGAAATACTTTATTGATGAAATAGGAGTATAAATATAAAGAAAACATAAAGGAGTGTGTAATTGCCAAGCTCAGGTTAGCTGTGCTTGTATAAAACATACAGGATGAGAGACTGAGGACAGAGATAATTAAATTAACCCTTTATACATGTTTACCCTAAACCCAGCTGTTGGAAACTTGAGTAGCTTGGAGTTAACTGAACTTCACAGTCTCCACCACGACGTCTCGCTCTGCTGCCGCTGTGTGTGTGTGTGTGTGTGTGTGTGTGTGTGTGTGTGTGTGTGTGTGTGTGTGTGTGTGTGTGTGTGTGTGTGTGTGTGTGTGGGAGCCAACAGAGAACAGGCAGAGCCTGCAGCCTGATGATAAACAGTTGTGTGTCGGTGCCATAATTAGAAACATTAGTTTTCTCATTTCAAGTTAATCAGATTTGATGCTCGAGACATAACTAGTGATGAAACGGTATCAAAATTTCATATTACGATTATAGTGACCAAAACTATCACGGTTATCAGTATAATCACGGTATTGTAAAAATGTGCCGAAAAAGATTAAAATGTACTGATACACACACTGAAACCATTTCAAGTTTTATACTGAAAACTACAAATATAATTGCCATTTTGTTTTCATAAATAATAACATAACAGCAAATACCTTTTGTAAACAAATGAAAATCATTTAAGTGTGCATTATCAAGATTTTATATAATATATAGGTAACACAATGACCCCGTGGACAATTACATGAAAACATAAGTCTGTAGAAGACAGTGACTGCAATTAGCCCAAAAACTGACATAAATACAGAGCAGTCCGTAGCGTTTCTAGATATGCTGATTGGGTGATTAAACAGCGCAAGGTGTCATCATGTGCAGACGAATAGACTCTGCCAACACACGACGCATACAGCAAGAGAACAAGAGCAGCAACACTGAGAGCTTCAGTTTACAAGCTGTTAGCAAGTCAGAGAG